CCTGGAGGAAGCTTACACACCTCCCTACTATTTAAATTCCCTGCTAAATAAACTTAACTCCCTTATTCCCACATCGGACATGAGACCCTGGACCCCGCCTATTTTGTCCACTTTCGTTTCCTTAATTGCACACCCAGCTCCTGAGAACCCGGTCAATTGTGGTTTCCATACGGGTGTCTCTCATGACCGTCACGGGAATTGTCGACGGCACGAGTTCTGCGATAAATAAGCAGCGCAATGTTAGAAATGAATTTGTCCTTATTGCACCTGCGAGGCGTTTTTACTTAATGCTGCCTGCATGGAGTCACAAGGGAGATATGCTACCATTTCTACTGCTTTCTTTCCTGTGACAGTTGTCGGTTAAGTGAAATGGGAATCGGATATCCGGATATCCGACATGACTCCCATTAGTGAAAGTGTTTACCGCAATGAATATTCAGCGGGTGCATGATTTTAAATCGAGACTGACCAATCAGGCTCCTGAAACTGGGGATCTCTACAAGAGGTTAGGTTTTCTGTAGGACGGTGGAAAGTGACACTTATTCAAAGGGGTGTGACACGGCGCCATCTTTGAGGGAGACGCCAAAGGTTTTCACAATTGGGTCAAATCCAGTCGGCAGTGGATTCAATTGCTGCGAGCACATCTGTGGGTATCTTAATGCCGGTCAACCTTAGCACTGTCTTCTGCGGCATTTTTCTCTGGTGTAAAAATCACACTCACCTGACATATCTCCCCTGGCTGTTAGGCTGATCTTTATCCACAGGGGATTCCGAGTTCTCGGCAAACAGGAAGGGCCGGGTGTGGCTCTCCATTAACTGCACCATGCTTTGCTGACAGGATAAGCTTTCCCCATTCTTTAGGTTTCCAGAGACTAAGCAAGTAATTGCAGTTCGCAAGAGGAAAACCAAAATGAAATTAGGCAGAAAGAAAGAGACCGGTGTCAACAAAGAAAGACGAGGTCATATTATGCTGTTTCAGAATGTCGCAATGATTGACAAGCAATGTATTGACGAGCAATGTGGAGAGGACTGTGTAGAGGACAACAAGCTGTTTCCAGGACAGTTAACGAAGAGATACTGGCCACCATTCACGTGTAATATTAAAGAGGATTTGATGTCTCCTGCATTGGCTAACAAGTGGCTAACACGTCTGAAAAGCTTAGGTCTGGGTGACGTTTCTGTCCAGAACCCCAAAGAGCCTTTTTTCTCCTTGATTCAAATGTACTTCCCTCCAGGAAGGATTTTCCAAAAAACCAAACTCACCCCAGGGTGCCCGTGCCGTCTCACAGCAAGACTACAGGATGGGAGAGAACTGGCCCTGTGAGTTTCTGAGACTGGATATAACTCTTCATGGGAGTAGAGAGGCCCCTGGAGTGGCTGGAGTTTGAGAACTGCTGACTTGGCAGTTAACAGCCCAGTGCTTAACCACGATGCTACCAAAGCATCTGGTCCACCCAGGGTCTGGCCATTAAAAAACCGTTTGTGTTGCTGCCCGACAGTGGCCCAGGATGAACCCCATCTGCACTGTGATCAGAGCTTTACCCTGCTTTTCTGGGCAGACCCATGGTTAGAGTGGACATGGCGCTCCTAGAGGAAAGTGAAAAGTAAATTTCTACACGAACATTGTAACCATCAAGGAACGTCTTAGATAAAGGTTCGTGATGGCGGCAGGCTATGGGAGCTCCACGGGTCAAGGAACCACGTGCTTGCTTAATTTATTCCA